ATAGCTGTGCACAGCTACCAGTATTGCAAATGAAAATGCGTGATTGTGTAGGCGCATTACCATCACTAGCCAATTGTGTACAGTTATCCAGTGTGCTAATAATTAGAGGAAATGTGCACACACATTAGGTGCACGGTAATGTGTGCGTTTTGCTCCTTTTTTTTGTATCTAAGCTTTTTTGTAGACGCGATGCAAGAAGAGTCGGTCCAGATTTTCTAACGCCAGTGGCATTTTATTCACAGAACTTGCTCATCTTTGTGTCGATAACCCAGGTTCAGGAGCAATTATTTGAAAGCAGTTACAATGTAGCTCGGGTCTGGGACCAATACAAGCTGGTACAATATAAAATAACAAACAATTACCATTAAGGCGTTGCATTACTAATATCAAAATAAATTTGGTATATGAATATGAACAATTATGGCCTGTACAATTAGAATGTCAGACACTAACAAACACCTCTAGTATCCTATTGATAAAATTGGGCCCTATGGCTATGCAGTATTTGATGTGATACAATGGAAACTGTTACTATACGCCTAGAAGGCCGATATGGAGAAGGCCAAGGAGGTTCTCTAGGCCATCCCTTATTATGCACAAATGCTCTATTTTCTAGTACTTTGCTTGATATGTATAAAACTAGACTAGGCACCTGGGCTTCCACCATTCCTCTGCAAAGGTGATTCCATCGTCCATGGAATCCGAAGAAGTGGGGTTTTTACCCACGAAAGCTTATGCCCAAATAAATCTGTTAGTCTTTAAGGTGCCACCAGACTCCTTGTTGTTTTTGTAGATACAGACTAACCCGGCTACCCCCTGATACTTGACACCATAGTCCAATGATCGTCATGTACATAATGAAACTGGGAGGAAGACTTCAATATTGTGCCAAAGGTAGAAGCAGTAGCAATAGTATTAGACTTTATTCCATTGTCACCCCACAGAGAACATGGCAGTGTCCCCATTCTATGGATTTGCATCTTTCGGTACCTTGTACTGTTTTGCTCAGCTACTGGTGACCCACAATAATGGCGGAAAAAATAAAGCATAAGTGGACAAACACGAGCCATTGTTCCAGACTCTCTCTGAACATTTCATATACCATTAATGCTACTTTGGGCTCAGCTCCCGTGTAATTTGAACAGCGTGAACCTCAAACTGTATTTCTTTACCCTGTTGTGGGACACCTGACATCAGTTCAGACACACCAACTGTCCAAGGCACAATGGTTCAGATAACAACACAGAAATACAGGTGAGAGGGGATGACTAGGTACCAGCTGCATACAGTCTGGTTTTGTGGGTGGTGTTTTATGCTTAGTTTAGAGTTCTATGCCTCCGTACAAAAATCCAGTGCAAGGGGGGGAAAGTTTGTATTGGGTGTTCAAGTTGCAATTACGCTCTGGCTAGATAGAACCTTAGTGCAGAAGTTTCCAAAGGACAGAGACCTGTCCACAGGAGCCCATGCCTCAGTCATCATGGGATGAAATCTGCATTTGGAGACAAAAACAGGAGATACTACTGAACAGAAGAATATATACAACACCAAGTACTGAGGATGGAGGGTGCATAATTAGTCTTCCCTCCTTTAACAATCTTCTCTCAGGGACCAACTAGTGTCTGTACTTTACAGGACTTAATGTATTTGGGAATCTCTTATTCTATGAGATGGGGAGGTATAATAATATATGGAGATATACCTATCTCATAGAACTGGAAGGGACCCCAAAAGGTCATCGAGTCCATCCTCCTGCCTTCACTAGCAAGACCAAGTACTGATTTTACCCCAGATCCTTAAGTGGCCCCCTCAAGGATTGAACTCACAACCCTGGGTTTAACAGGCCAATGCTCAAACCACTGAGCTATCCTTCTCCACCCCACCCCCCAGCAAGGCATTAATATGTCCTGTCATTGGTACCATGATATGTCCTTGTCATTAATTGACAAGATACACCAATAACTAAATTGGGTAGCTCAGTATTAGGAGAAAAAACCTTTCACATAAGAGAAAATAGGGCCATCCATATGGAGCAGGAGCATCTTTAAAAATCTACTTTGCCTTCTTCAGATGTGGTGCACATAAATCAGGGGTTCTCAAGCTGGGGGTCAGGACCCCTCAGGGGTTCACGAGGTTATTACCTGGGGGCCGCAAGCTGACAGCCTCCACCCCAAACCCCACTTTGCATCCAGCATTTATAATGGTGCTAAATATAAAAGTGTTTTTAATTTATAAGGGGGGTCGCACTCAGAGGTTTGCTGTGTGAAAGGGGGCACCAGGACAAAAGTTTGACAACCACTGACATAAATGGAGACAAAAGAAATACAGATACAGTTAAATAAAGAAGCACAGCTTCATCTGACAGGGAGAGTGAAAATATCATTCAGGAGAAGTCTTGAACCAGTTCCCCTTCCAGTACATGGTTGCATAGTAGCAGGGCCGGCTCCAGGATTTTGGCCGCCCCAAGCAGCCTAAATAAATAAATAAATAGACAAATAAAATAAAAAGCCGCAAACTGGAGTGCGGGACCATCCGCCACATTGCCGCCGAATAGCTGGACGTGCCGCCCCTCTCCAGAGTGGCCGCCCCAAGCACCTGCTTGGCAAGCTGGTGCCTGGAGCCGGCCCTGCATAGTAGGCCAGTTTACAGACATGACTGCTCTGAAAAAAATGGCTAGTTTGAGGGGGAAGTCAATATTACAGACTATAAATGGTCAGTCACATGAGAATGCCTTATTGAAGTAGAAGTTTCTTTAATGACTCCAGACTGAATATAAGAACTAGAGATTAAACTGTGCTTAACTATTTAATATTTTACATAGGCCAAGGTCAAACGTATCCAGTTCAAGGAGGACACAAGTGCCTTGTAATGACACCACTTGAAGTGCATTATTGCTCTGTCAAACAATTATGAGCTCTTCACCTATGACAGGGTTATGAATCTAGAGGGACGATGCAGCAGAAAGCCTGGTGGAGTGTAGAAACCATGCATAAGTGCTTCTCAAGAAGAATCCCTAGTCCTTTCATGAGGTACAGAGCAGAGGTCATATCCAAGTAGCTCTAACACACCAGGAGTAGCATTATCTCATGCAACCCAAAGCCTCCCGAACTGGCTTTAGTCTGCCACATAATGTCTTTTGTTGTGAGAAGGGGAAAAATTTATGTGAGAGAGATGGACAGATGAGTAAAGAGCAGAGGAATGCAATTATTACAGGTTAATTCAACCATTGTTAAATGTTCAGCAGCCTGTCAGAAGAACTTTTTCCACATGGTTTGTGTTAAGTACTTAGTAAAGAATGTTCTCGAGGACAGACTGTCCTTGAAGCATGGGAAAAATAAATGAAGTTATAATAATAATCGGTCTAATACAGGTTAGGCAGGTAGCCAAAGATACATCAATGGGGCAGCTTCTAGAATCATCACCTTCATATAAAGAATCAGGACTTGCCTCTTGTGCTTGCCCTGTAGCATCCAGAGATATCACAACCACCTGGGTAGCCAGGTGTCCCAGGATGGCCTCTGGCACCAGGAAAACCTGGAGTACCGGTGCTCCCGGGGGAACCCTTCAGACCCGGGTCCCCTATGACTTGTTCTCCTGGAGGGCCTGAAAAATGAATGGCATCTCAAACAGTACAGTATAACTCTGCGGGTCCAATGCAATATCTATTGTCTGACGGCACACAACTACTGACAGTTATCTGGGGACTTTCCCTGCTCCCTTTTGAAGGAAGATGAGATTAGAGAACCCCCACTGCATCCTGATGAAGATCTATGGACCTCTTTCCCATTTCCCACAATTTAACCCTTTCCTGCTGTTCGCCAGTGCCCTAGAAGCTTTGTGATGTGGCCAGCATCACTGGATGAAGAAGGCAAGAAAGAACGCTTGTCTGCATTCGTCAGTGCTGTCTCCTAAACATCAGGAAGAGGAATTGCTCAGGAGTAGGACGACATATCCTCACCCTCAAGGAGCGATTCCAGCCCGTGGTGAGCAGGGATCAGGAGTAGGGAATCTCACCACTGTCTCCCATGCGGAGAATTATCAACCACTAATCCCAAGATCCTGGTGGGGTTCATTGGTTTTGTGTCTTTATCTGTCAATAGTAACAATCGTGTATATATGAAAAAATACTGTCTGCAATGCTCCCCTGCTGGAGCCTGTCACTGAAGTCCGCAATAGTCCCACTGCCTTCAGCTACAGCAGATCAGGCTCTCGAGGGGAGAATTTTGAGAGATTTTAGGTTCCCACAAAGTGGGGGGCTAATTTTCAAAGGGCTTTCCACGTTGTGAGCCACCTCCTCAACTGGTTTATACCATCTGAATATCTGGCCTTGTGTGCACAAAACTCTGCATAGTGTAGGTGTAACCTGCACACCTCCTGGGTGTGGTGTTCTGTCCTATCTAGTGGCACCGAGACCACGTAGAGAGAGATTGAGTCTGTTCTAGAGCCGTAGCCAAGAGCCATATGACTTTTAGCTCATGCAATAGAGGCTCATGCATTTAGCTCCCGAGGCCCCAGGTTCGATCCTGCCCGCCGACAACCAGGGTCTGTTGGTGTTACATAGGCGATGTGAAAAGTCATATTGGGGCCAATTTTCAAAGGGCCTTCCACTTTGTGAGCCACCTCCTCAACTGGCTTATGCCATCTGAACATCTGGCCCTGTGTGCACAAAGTTCTGCAATAGTGTAGGAGATTGAAAAGTCTGTATGTAAACTGTGTAATTAAAACATGCAATTACCAGTTGGTATGTTCAGACACTGGGGATTTCTGCCTCTGCACTGGCAGACGTTTACCAAAGGGAGGCTCTTTGGAAAATATGTCCCATGGGGTCTTAGAAACAGAGGAACTGCCATACTGGAGCAGACCCAGGGGCCATATAGTCTAGTTTCCTGTCTCTGATAGCGGCCAGCACCAGATGCTTCAGATGAAGGTGCCAGAAACCCCACTACAGGCAGATTTAGGCTCATCTGCCCCTCATGAGTCTGAGTGTTGCTTTGAATTTGGGATGTGGCTGTTGCAAGCTATGCCCAAGCTGTTTGCTCAAACCCCTTGGGAGCACCGATGAAGAGTCAACATTACGATTGAAACCAAAAGACTGTATTCACTGTACCTGCTCGTCCTCTTGGTCCTTGGACTCCTTCGTCCCTGGCTCCAGCCATCCCTTTCTCACCCTTGGGTCCTGGTCCTCCTGTTTGAGGATGAGAGAGAGAGAGAGAGATGTCACTTACCACAGCTTAACAGCTTCCCCTGAATTAACACCCTCTACTCCAGCCTCCCCATAAGGTGGCTCTTAAGTGGTATGGTCCTTGAGGAGGTTGTGGTCTTTAGTACCACACACAGCAAAACAGGATCCCCTCCTTTAACCCCTCCCGTGTGGCCCTGCATATGTATCCTTGGGCAGCCCTTGGCATTGTCCCTCAAATAGGATCATCCCCCTACACACTGAATTTAAGTTTGTGGCTATTTATGAACCTGCAAATATAAATCAAGTCATTATTTATACCTGGTCTTTAAGTATGGTGCAGTGCATCATACAGTGTTAGGGAGCCTGTTAACCCTTCACTGTTGAATACCATTTTAGTGGGGCAGTAGAAATGACTTCCTCATCAATCTGCATTGCTCTGCTGTGCCTGCAGCCCTCTGTGCATTAGAGCCAGCCTTCCTGAGCTTTTCCTCCCCTTACCACGTCTAGGGGCCAGTACCCAACTGCAGCTTTCTCAGGGCAAACGGTGCAACTGCATATGCCCGGCTCTCGCTGCTCAGGGAGGGCTGGCTGGAAAACAGCAATTCCATTGGGTGAAATGTTTTGGAGGTTTGGGAATCTGTTTTCATTCTGATGAGGAAGGAAACTGAGACCTTACAAAAGTTCCCCCAGTGTCACCAGCCTGGTGGTTATGACACTGGCCTGGGATATGCTAGCCTCAGGTTCATAGTCCCTGCTCTGACTCTAATCTGGTCTCCCCGGTTCTAAGTCAATATCCTGACCCGCAGGCTAATGAGTTAGTCTCACCTTCCTGATGAAATGGTCAACACTGATATGCCCCCACACTGGGACCTGAAGAGGAGCTCGGTGTAGCTCAAAAGCGTGTCTCTCTCGCCAAACAGAAGTTGGTCCAATAAAAGATATTACCTGCCCCACCTCATGTCTCAAGACATTTCTCTTGAGGAAATGGCTTTTTTCGACAGAAGTTTTGGCAAAGAGATTTCGACCAGTTCTACATGTAAGTTCTACCTGTTCTCCATCTAGGGGATCCGTCTCCTCACTTGACTGGCTGGAAATAGTTGCAGGTTGCTTCGTCCCTGCTCCACTTAATTGTCATTTTGATAAGCTTTATGTTTTCAGGCCAGAACTGAATGACTAACCAGCTCGAGCGAGGGGTTGGCTTTTCAGAAGGATTAAGCAGCCATTGAAGCCAGAGCAGTTTCAATTAATGTTGCACGAGACTCTCCAACAAATATTTTTATAAAAATATCCGCTCAGACATTATTTCCTCCCATTAACACCTGGCTTTGCCTCTCCTACCATCAAAAATTTGCATCAATATGTGAGACCTGCTTCTGAAGTGGGGCCCTTTTGTGGGAATACATGCCTGTGAGAGAGAGCGGCAGGAATCGCCCGACAGGCCTAGGACTCAAACTGCAGAAGAACTTTCAGTGCATGGAGCGGTCCTTTGCATTAGTAGCAAAAATAGCTGTGTGCCCTACATGTCTTTTCAGCTGGACAGAAACAGAGCTTCAGTTATTGAGCTTGTGAATGGGGGAGATTTTCTTGTAATGGGAAGAAGAAAGAAAAAAAATTTTTTTAAACCATCCCTCATGTGAAAACAATCTGTCAGTATGGTTGGTATATACCCCTAGTGCTGGTGCCCACCTGGTCTCACTGGGATGCTATGCATAAAGACTGGGCAGGGGGAGCAGGGCTGCTTCAGAAGAAAACTTGCTATGCCCAAAAGCTCTAGTAAGGAGATGCTTCCCCAATGCACGTTTCAAGATGGCTTTTCTAGAGAAAAAGAAGGAGCTACTAAAAAGAAGGTGGGGGGGAAACAACAGTGCAGAATCTTCCTTGAACGCTCTTGACAGATTCAGGTTGCTGGGTGAGCAGCCGTGTGAAATGTGCCAATTAAACCACAAACTTAGACTAAAAATGGAAGGAAATTCTACATGAAAAAGGAGGGAGAGGTTCTCCTTGCATGTTTTCATCTTTAATAACGCTGTATGTGCCACTTTGGAGCTGTAGCCAAAAGGTTCTTCTAACAGCCTATCCTTAATACACTGTTTTATTAAACCACTGGTGGCTGCCAGGACGACGGTACAGTTAAGATTTGCCCTGTAATTAAACAAAAATTCCAGCAACACTTTCTCCTTGCAAGTGCAGGAGCTTTAAGTTTGAGGCCAAGAGGCCAGAGATAAGAGAATATTCTCTCCAAAGCTCATGAGTTCTACTCCAAAAAGGTGCCTGCGAGTGCTTTGCCCACTGAGGGGGGGGAGATAAGAAGCTTTGCACGCTGCTCTCATTCCTAGACTGGAAAAAAACTGTTGGCCATATGCTGGCACCTTTACTTAGTCCTTACATTGACTTCAAGAGGAGTTTTGATCAAGTGAGACTTTCAGATTTGGCCCTGTGAATTCCTTTTGTGCTGGCCCAAGAGGCAGTTTTATGGGGTCCAGCATTGTGCCTGGAGAGAATGAGAGCCCACCTTGGATGATGGGTGATGCTGCTGGGTAGAAGGTCCTCCTGTTTTTTGTTGATTAATACTTATGGGCACATGAGTGTCTGGAGACATCCATCAGGACTGCACTCCATTGGGCTCGGTGATGTGAATACAGGCACGCACGCACACCAATACACAAGGTCCCTACCCCAAAGAGCTTGCAATCTGAGATGGGTAACGATACAATGGATGGGAGAAAGTATAATCCAATACTGGAATCCTTCCTGCCCCATCAAACTTTGCTTCATGGCACAAACAAGGTTTCACCACCCCCATCTGTCCTGGGCTACTTTTTGCATATAATGGAAAGGTAATTGTAATATAAACCTCAGCCATACCTGGCAGAGCATTAAAGGATCTGACAATAAACACGGCTTGTGTGTGTAAGCAAGCTCCATCGCCCGTCTATATCTGGTACAGGAGTACAGGACACTGCAGGTCTCAAGTCCCATACATTTTTCCCTAAGTACTGTTTGATGGTGGGAAGGATTATTTTAGTTGGCCCCTTTTATGTATTTCTCCAGCTACGCAATGGCACACCTGCCACGGCAGATGCTCTGGCTTTGGTCTTAACACATGTCCAGATATTTCCACCTTTTTTTTCTGTAGCCATCATTAAACAGCTGATTTCTTAGACCCGACAGAGGTGGGAGCTGAATGAGGTGAGATCAGCTCAGGAAGGGTATTCCACAAGTAAGGGCCAGCGTGAGGGGATGTGGAGAAGAGTCACTGGCAAAGCTGAGGAGGGGAGTGTGACAAGTGATGAGCAGCTCACAGCTACTTGGGAGATCCAGTTAGAGAATGGGGAACGAAGTACAGATATTCAGTACTCAGGCAGACCAGATAGACACTCGTGCTGGTAATCCTGGGCAGACACTCCACTTGTTTGTAATATTAATGGAGTGAGTGTGACTCAAAATGTCTTAGAACCATAATTTTGAAGTCACTCCTGAAAACTGGGTGAGAAGATACTAGGCTGCATATCCTGCTCATTGTGAGAGCTAGAGCTGAACAAACCCCTCTGATCCAGTAATCTCCAAACTTTGTGGACATATGGATCATGAGGGAATCGTTGTGGTTGGTGCCTATCCCTATCCACGCTGCATCAACGTGAAATGGACCTGAGCTTAGTGCTTAGATCTATCTGGAACAAGAGTTCATTTTAGGTGAAGAAGCTACCCTTCATTAGCCACTATGTCTGAAAGTATGAAGGCCATGGCAAAGTTCTACTTAAGAACATTTCAGTCAGTACCTCTTTCCCCAGGATACCCATCTTTGCCTGGCTGTCCTGGGATACCGTCTTCTCCTCTTTCTCCTCTAGTACCAGCGATACCTGGAAGACCTGGTGGTCCAGGTCCTCCTGGCTTCAATGTGTCATCCCACACAGGAACTGGCTTCCTTGTATGTTCATGGATGAATGAGTCGAATTTCAACACATGAGCTGAGAAGGCAAGTCAGAAAATAAACTGCCTCATCTCCACTCCAGAGGAGATGCTGAGATGAGCAAAAGGCATCAGGTCAGAACCTCTGCTGGCACGAATGTAACCTGTGTAGATAAAATAAAGGGTCCAAGAGCCTTTCGCCCATCTTCAGGCCAAGCCCTAACCTTTTACCAGACTCAGGAAAGGTTCTGTAAGTTCTTCCAACCAAAGAAATAGTTGGAGTCCATCAAATGTGGAGCTATAGAGGACTTGGCTTAGGTTTGGAGCCAAGTCAGGGCCAGTATGTGGGTTGAGATCCAATAGTGCCAACAAATCTCAAAATATTGGCTGCATCTATACAAGACATCATCCCCCCTCCCCCAAAAAACCTCTTCTGGTTCTGAATCCAAAACTGTCACTACATTTAGTTTCAAGGACTCAGATAAAACCCATCACCAAGCCCTTGAAATCTGAAGCCGTTTAGAAGTCAGGTCCTCGTTTTGGCCCATTTTAGTTTCCCATATACAGTTCTGATGCCATAAGGTTATACACTGGTTACATCACTTACATAGCAGAGAGAAGGCAATACTGCCGCCAGTCTTAGAAGTGCAATGTACCTATCATCAGACCAGGCAAAGGGCAATTTGGGTTTGAAAAAAGTGCTAGCTGGAAACTTCATTGAGTTTGCAAAACCACAATTAGGGGTGGTTCAGATCCACTTCTGTTTTGTCTGCACCCCGAAGTTCAGGGAGGGAGAGGGGAAGTAGGGTGGTAGATAAGTGAAAGTGGTTCCAGTTTTGGCTCATAGCTACTTTACATAGATGGGAGTCAAACTACGGAAACTTTTGATATTACAGAACCGTTCCCTGGTTCTGGTTTTGTTTGCAAAACTCATATCAGGATGAATGATGTGGTCTTATTATATTCCGTGTATTCTGATGTTGCCAGATATATAAATAAAAAAACTTGATATATAAATAAAAATCACCAGGTACTATGAAGTTGTCAGTCCAAACTGCAGAGATCATGCACTGAAGAGGAAGACTCCGCTGAGTCATGGTCTTGCTATCTGACCTTGGGAAAAGCACTAACTTGATCTCCCTGTGCATCGGTCAACCCCAAGCAAATCTTGCTGACAACTCTTCATCCCAGGGAAAGCAAACACACAAATCCCTGGTGCATTCAAGGGATGTTGCACTTGGTCCAGGCATCATCTGAGCTAAGCTTTCCAAGTTCCACCCACCCACCCAAAATCAAGCCTCCTGTTTTTCTCTGCTGTAGAAACTGAGGGATCAATTAATGGAACACCGGAGTGATTTTTCCTAAAAGAGTCAAGTTTCAATCCAAGCCTTTTCCTACCCTTGAAAGAAAAATCCAGTACAAGATGCCAGGCTGGACTGCTAAGTAATATTTCACAGGTCTTTGTTCTAATACAGCTTGGTGGTGGGGGGAGGAGAAATGTTCAGTTTTGAGGGCCGGCCTGAGAGATTCCTACTCACTTTTAATGCTCATCACTTCACAGGATCCGACTCTTAGGGTCTGATCCAAAGCCCGCTGAAGTCAACGGAGGGCCTCCTGCCAATGGATTTTGGATCAGGTTCTTCATTATGTGGTAAAACGTCAAGCACTGTAGAAACACTACTACCCAAGGAGACATGTGATACTCACTCTGAATCATCTGCTCACAAGCCTGACTAACCAGCTGGTAAATTGTGGCCAGGGATTGTGGTTCACCCTGAAGTAAAATTAAAAATAAATAAATGCTTTTGAAATGAAGTGGATAGAATGTACGTTTTCTGATGGCACATTCTTACCATCAGCTTGAGCTATCGAGATATTCATCACCCTGAGGATCTCTCTATCGATTCATCAATAGGCTTTGAAACAGTAACATCTTTAACTGGTAAATATCAATAATTTTGTTTTTCCCTGCACCCACAAGTTGACTAAATAAAGAACTCCAAGGAGAAAAAACTCACTTTCTCTCCCCTTTCCCCCTTTGGACCAGGCAGACCCTGTTGAGAAAATAGAGCAAAAAGAAACACTTTTTAAACGGGGAGGAGGTGAAAAATGGAAAATAAAAGGCCAATTTAATAAAAGCCGGTATTAGTACAGTACTTTGCTGTTGTGATTCTCAAGAGAACAGCCAGCGGTATGTTTACAAGCTAACTCCAAAATAAGGACCACGTTTGCAGTGGATCTTTTCAGGTGCTCCTTCCAAAACTGTAGTCTCAGCCATTTGCATGCATAAAACCCCACAAATGTGAATGCAGTTGCACAGGGAAAGCTGATCTGACAGCCCCATTCTTTGATATCTTATGGTTGTATATCACAGAATTATGCAACATGCATGTACAAATGTCATTTTGTTTAGCCACAAACATGTGAACCAGTAAATACTGTGGCTGTAGTTAAGGATATATACACTCCCCCCCCACAACGGAAGACCAAATTCATACGAATAATGGAGGATTTTTATTAAGGATAACAACAAATATGGAGCAACAGGAAAAGACTGATGCCAACAAAAAGACAGCATCAGAGCTGTGAAAACACTACAGATCTGCCTTTGATCCAAGGTAAGTTCTCCTCACATGCAAAGAGTTCTTCATCTGAGCTAAAGGGACAACTGCAAAGTTCAGATGTGGTCTAAGGCTTGCCCCAAAAGTTTGGTTCTGTGGGTTTGGTTCAGGCCCATCTCTAGTGATTTCTTTCTCCAGTCCAGGATCTTATGTAGGAAATTTTTGACCACTGGATTTTATTTAGCTCAGAATCCTGCAGAGGGCAATGCCTGCCATGAACAACTAGCCCTGAGTCTACTCCAAGACATTTGTCAGCCGGGTCTTTGATGAATAGCTAAAGTCCCTTCACCAGAAGAGATGGATCTGAACTAACACCCTCAGAGCTACACACATTCAAACTTTGAGGAAGTTCAGATGCAGAGCTGAACTTTGCAGCTGCAGCTCATTTCCATTTAGGACTCTGTCAGGTTCCATGCTCTCATCAGGCACTCCTGGAGTATCACAACACAAAAACAAAACACCAAACAACCACTTACGGTGGGTCCAACATCACCTGGAGGTCCTCGCTCTCCACTACTGCCTCGGGAACCTGTTATTCCTTGGAAACCCTGCAGAGATTAAATTGTGAGATGCAGCTACAGCGAAGGCCCAGGCAGCTGCCCGCTTTCTTCTTCTGCTACTTGAGGTTGACATCTCCCTATGTCTCCAAGGGCACCAGCAGAATCAGTTTAGAGGGCTCAGTTAAAGGCATTGTGCCCTTAAGGTTTATGTCAGTGCATCATCCAACCATGAAGACAATGTTAAAAAGTATATCGTGTATGAGTCATGTTCACATCATTTACTATTACGGTCTCAATTATGGTCAGGAGAGCAGATGTGAGTTGTGCCCACGACCTGCAAGGTGGTTTTTACCCTTCAGTTTTTAGTTCTTTCATTCTGTATTGAGATTATTTTAGTCTTAGCCCAGAGCACATCTATTTTTGGACAGTTAACGCCTCTCTTTTACAGCTGAACTTCCCTCCAATGTGTAATTGCATCAATAATGAAGAATTGTTTAAAGGAAAAAAAAACCCTGCATGCTCTAGACATCTATCTGCTCCCCAGTTGTATTTCTGCAGTTGCCAGAATTGTATAAGAAAAGGGCCAGTTATTTTCTATATATTTGTAATTTTTCACCCACTGGATTCCAGTCAATAGTGATTGACAGCTATTTAGTGGCCATGGGGAAATGAGGTAGAGGTTTCAATGTAATTCCTAGTGCACAGGTGGCATCTTCGCTATTGAAAGGCTGGTCTGGTGGTTCATGCTGGGACTCAGTGACTCTGGGTTCACTTCCCGGGTCTGCCATGTACTGCCTGAAGTTCAGTAGTAGGCCACTGAGCCTCTCAATCCCTCAGCTCCTCATCTGTAAGGTGGGGACATAATACTTCACCCCACCCACGGTGTTGAGAGACACTCGACACTAATGAGATTGGAGCCTTATAAATACGTAGATAAACTCTAAGGCTGTCCTTGGCGAAACCGAAGCTAGGAATTTGTGCTTGGGAGCAGCTCAGGTCCCACTGGCCTGGGCAGAGCTGAGTGAGGAGATCTTGTCTGGCCTCATGCCCAGCTCCAGCTAGAGACTTCAGTCTAGCATCCTGTATGCCTTAAACTCATCCACCATCTAAGAAAGAGGAACAGTAGCCCGCTGGACTACCTAACCCTCTGGCAAAGCAAATGTCCCTCTAGAGGCTGCCCACGAGCTAAGTCTACTACTGCTACCAGCTAACAGAGTTACTCCTGAAGCTGAAGCGGTAGAGGTCTCTGCTGCAGTGCTGAAAGTCCCAGGTTCTAACCCTGTGATGACCCACGCCAGGGGGTGGTTACGTTGGCACCAGTGGAAAATACAGCAAGTCAGCAGGAAGTGAAAGTTATTGCTGATGACAAGCTTTGTACTGACAGTTTGTGCAAGCTCTTACCCTGGGTCCTGGTGGCCCCGGAGGCCCTGCTGTGCCTTCCAGTCCTCTCACCCCCTGCAAACCCAACAGTGTGTTAACGAGAGGGTCCTCACAGCATTGGTGAGAGCTGAGAGTGCAGTGATGTGATGCCTTACTCCAAAGGCTGTTTAGCCAGGGCTTATCAATGGAACATAAGAGAACGGTGGTAACTTCTCAGCCACATAAATCTAGCTGAAGAATTTTGGGGCCAAATTTGAGATGTCTGGATCATCAATTCACCCATCCCTGCTGCCACAGGCTTGCCCTGTGCTAGCAATATCAACCGTCGGGCGGAGAGTAGAGAAAACTGCGAATGCTGCCTCTCGACAGCAGAACGTCCATGCTTACTCCAAGATGCTGTGAGAAGAATAGGACCCCAGAGCTCTTTGCTAGGTAAGGTGCCATGGGGGAAGTACCCAGAGAGTAAATCTCTAATCCACCATCTCAAGCCAATTCCTTCCCTCCCCCCGTACACTTTGCCATGCACTTTTTACAGGAAGTGGTGCAGATACAGTCTGGCCAAAGTTTTCAAACCTGAGTGAGTAAAGTTAGGCACCCAAGTCCATATTTGCGCACCTAAAAGCAGGCCAATTTTCAGAGGTGAGGCGCAACCTCAGTTTCCCCCCCACACATTAAGACCTGTGGGTGCTCAGCATCTCTGCAAATCAGGCCACATATGGAGTGTTAGGTGCCCAGGTTTGAAAATCTGGGTCTGTGTGTTTTACCTTTGCACCCTGAATGCCATCTCTGCCTGGAGCTCCCTGGGCACCAGGAATACCCTAGAAAACAGAATTGCTAGTTAAGTCTGGCATCCAGCAATTACATCCCACTTCATATTTTTAAATGGTGGAGATAAAGGCAACCACCAAAGAGGACAATCAAGCACAGCAGAACAAAAAAGAAACAGAGCACTAAAATGTCAACAAAATTCCATTTTCAACCGGCTCTATTTTCCGGTATATGAAACTGAACCCTGCATCATTCACCATCATAAGGTCAGACTCCTCTTCTCTCTCCTCCCCTATGCCTTACATTTTAACAGCACCTTCCATAACAGGGAGTCCCGAAAGAATTTTACAGGCCCAACTGGATTTCCTGCCTCTTCTGCACTGGGGATACTTAGGAAGTGGTAGAGAAGAGGGGTGGAAGCCAGCCTGCTGGCTCTGCCATGCTTTACTGTTTGTCCATCGCCCAGTTTATTCTTTGGGGAAACGGGCCCAATAATACTTGCAAGGTTGGTGGGAGGCTGAACTGATTCATGTTTGCCATGCTCCTGTGTGGGCCCGGATGTGAACGCACGATAGCCGTGCAAGGTGTTCCTGCAGATTTCCTGCGTGGTGGAGATACGCTTTCAAAGTGGGGATGGCAATAATGACAGATAATTCCTTGGATTTCAGATGTTCAGCGGGAAAATAGGTAGTTCTTTGAGTCAAAGGAGTGATGTCGATTATACTACCTGCATGCCTGGGATTCCACTGTCTCCTTTCTCCCCTTTAATTCCTGGTGGCCCCTGGAATCAAAATGTCACAATAGAGTTGCATATATTCTGCACCACCCCTTAAGTTGGGCAGAAGTCTATCTGTCCATGGCTACTCATCACTAATGGTCAGTTCAGCATGGCCAGGAACCCAACTACCTCCACATGCCCTTTGAGGTGATTTGTGCCCAGAGGGATCCTTGCACACCTCCACATCTGACCCTTTTGCCTGGCATTTGCATGCAGGTTTGTGTGTATATACACACATACGTGCAAGTGTATATTGCTTCTCTAACACTTGCCCATTGCTTCTCTAACCATGATGACTGTGCTACTGAAATTTTAATACTCCGTTGGACTCTTCAAGGGCTAGACTAGGAATCAGCTATCCACCGTGGCCAGTTTTTAAACCAGAATTTAGGATCTCGTCAACATTAGAAAAACTAGATATCCCTATAATAGCAACAGCGCAGCTGGTAGTAGCAGCATTGTAAGCAGTGGTGTAGATAAGGCTCAGGTGTTTTTATCACCACATCCCTGTAACAAAACCAGACCCCCCCATACCGCCGTATCTTTCACACAGAGCAAAAGATGGGATAAAAGCAATGGGAGAGATCACGTACCACTGGACCCTGCACGGTGATTCCTTGGGAGCCTGGTGACCCTTGTTGTCCACCAGGACCCTCCGGTCCGGCTTGTCCAGGAGGACCTGGCTCACCCTAAAGCCAGCCAAAGAAATGAAACCAAATGTGGGGAGGAACACCAGCGACTTTGCCATGCATTGACTGCACCATACGACCACAAAGCAGCTACTGGATGCAAAAGGAAGAGGCAAGGCCTGGAAGTGTCCAATACCCTCAGCTGTACAGCCCTTTGCCTTTGCAGTCCAAGGTTTTGAGGCCAGTGAAGTCAATGGCAAAACTCCCACTGGTTTCCAGGGAAACAGGAGCAGCCCTGCCCTATAGCAAATTATTCTAGTGATTGGAGCTGGTCAAAAAATGGTGGGGGAGAACGTTCCGCAAAGACTTCGCTGAAAACGGTGTCCATTTTTCAATGTCTTTTTCTGGCCAGCTCTATCAATGGTGCTGGCTTCTGTGCAGTTCATTTGAAAAAGGACAGCAGTGGCCGGGGGTGGGGGTTCCCTTGTTTCTTTACTGGATTCTCTCAGTCATGCTTTGTTGGGTAACACATAGCAAATGCTCTGGATGTGGATTTTAGTGCCTTCCCCACCCCCCAAATTCCAGGACGTTCAGATCCAGCCTTTTGTTTCGTACTTGTCTCTGCTCCTTTTCCGTAGAGAAATACCCAGTTTCTGTGGCTCTCCCTGTACTTCACACCTTTCCCAAGCACGCCGAGGCACGGGGTCAAATCAGCCACACACGGCAGGGAGAATAAGAGCACCACAAAACTGGGATGAACATTTTCTGATGGAGTTGGGTTGTTTTCTTAGAAAGAAGCTTATTGGATCCATGTAGTTAATCAACACAACTAGGTGTCTGGAGAATTTTGGAGCAGGGATCATGTCTAGATCACACAGCTCTGAGCACCCACATGGTGCTTAAATAACCATGTCATTTTCTATTCGATTACAGACATTTTCATTGTTCTGTTTCTTAAAATCTCTGGATCGCTGCGCTAAGTAGTAAGAAGGCTCAATCATTAATGTAGGGATGAATTCAGACCTGGGGTGAGTAAATGTAAGTCCATTGAAGTTAAGGGAGTTGCACTTTCTCACCCCAGGTCTGCGTATGACCTATAGGCATATAGCTGCCTGAAAGAAAATTAAAGTTGGAGTGCTGTCATTGCTCACCTTCGGCCCTGGTTTCCCTTGTTCCCCTTGCGGTCCTCTTCTCCCAGGACTGCCCTGCCAAAGTGGGACAAAGCACAAGACTCTCTTGTTATTAATATTAAGTAATGTCTGTACTGCGGTAGCACTTAGGAACCACAGTGCAGCGCCCCGGTGCTAGATACTGTACTCACACATCAGAAGATGCTCCTTGCCCCTGAAGGGCTTGCTAGAGGGGGATGTGACAAACAGAGCAGGAAGCAGAAGGGTAACAGCGAGATACTAGTGAGTGTGAAAAGCAGCGGTCACTGCACACCTGCTGCCGGACCATCCGTCACAGCAGACTTCTAAGGAGAGATTTGAAGGGAGGACAATGAGGTGGCTTTGTAGATGCTTATTTCTTCCAGGCATGAGGAGCAGCACAGGAGAAAGCCTGAAGTTGCTTGGTTTTGTAACCGTAACAAATGGCTGCCGAAGGCGACATCGGTAGCAGTGGGGGTTGACTTGTTGTGGTTTTGCACTTCTATGAAAAATCTAGGACGGAAGCAACTTTTCTGCTCCCTCTGCTTCATTCCAGAGCAGCGTGGGTGGCTCTGCGAATGCCGACATTGACACAAAGCAAAGAGTTCAGGTGAGAGGTGGCCCCCAAGAGGCTCTGAAGGTAGATCCGAATGAGGGCTTCACCCAATTTTGCAAGGAATCAGGTGCGGCGTTCTAGTGGAGCCCCATCTCTTGCTCACACTCAGCTCAGCCCACACAGGAACTGCTATATGGCCCTAGGTAAGTCTGCCACAAATGCATTTTGAGAGGGCTGAACAGTAACAAGCGGGTAATAGTGGCATCCCCTCTGGCAAGCTCCTTTCAGGTCAATGGTGTAAGAGAGATCAGAATCAGATCCTCCGTAGTTTAGCACATTCCATAAAAAGGACAGGTATTCAGTGGGACCATGGAAATGCAACTGAAGCATTCTGTGCTGGCACTGAGATTACACACTTGTTTTTCAAAGTGCTTCTCACGGAGTGATGCTGATTAATCTCTATTCCAGCTACTTGCAGCAAGCTGGGGATGGAACAGCAGCTCATACTTGTACGGACTCTAGAGCACACATTCTACTTTACATAAGCTCCAAATGAGCACGCTCACAGCAGGGAAGGGGAGTGTATCCAGGGAGACCTGGTTTATCTGCACATCTGCATAACCACTGGATCTCAGAGGAATCTAATCTAGCATGTACAGGTGCTGTATGAACTATTGACGTTTTAATCTGATGGCTTTTGTTCGTGAATCTAAATAGCAGTGGATTTGGATTAAGCAAATCTGACTAGGAGCTTGGCTAGAGGTTGTTTATGGGGTGCCCCAAAGGAGCCTATCCCTGTGCAGAAGGAGCTCATTAAGGAAGAGTGGATATGCATGAGACATCCTTGCTCACTATGGAATAACTTTAGACATGTTAAGTGCAAATCGATCAGGGTTTCATGATGCATGAAGCATATGTGTCATAACTATATTCCCAATCACGCTGAAAGAAAACCCCTTACTCCCCTAAAGTGCACCGAAGAGACATTTAAATTAGAAGGCCGCATGAGCTCATAACTATGCAGGTAGCAGGTTATCACAGAATCACAGGACTGGAAGGGACCTCGACGGGTATTCTAGTCCAGTCCCCTAGACTTGTGGCAGAACTAATTATCTAGACCATCCCTGGCAGGTGTTTGTCTAACCTGCTCTTAAAAATCTCCAATGCTGGAGATTCCACAACTTCCCTAGGCAATTTATGCCAGTGCTTAACCATCCTGACAGTTAGGAAGTTTTTCCTAATGTCCAACCTAAACCTCCCTTACCGCAATTTAAGCCCATTGCTTCTTGTCCTATCCTCAGCAGTTAAGAACAACAATTTTTCTCCCTCCTCCTTGTAATAACCTTTTATATACTTGAAAACTGTTATGTCCCTTCTCAGTCTTCTCTTCTCCAGACTAAACAAACACAATTTTTTCAATCTTCCCTCATAAGTCATGTTTTCTAGACCTTTAATCATCTTTATTGCTCTTCTCTGGACTTTCCCCAATTTGTCCACATCCTTCCAAAATGTGATGCCCAGAACCGGACACAAAACTACAGTTGAGGCCTAATCAGCACAGAGTAGAGCATAAGAATAACTTCTTGTGTCTTGATTACAACACTCCTGCTAATACATCCCAGAATGATGTTCGCTTTTTTCTGCAAAAGTGTTACACTGTGGACTCATATTTAGCTTGTGGTCCACTATGACCCCAGATCCCTTTCTGCAGTACTCCATTCTTGGCAGTCATTTCCCATTTTGTATGTGTGCAACTGATCGTTCCTTCCTAAATGGAGTACTTTGCATTTGTCCTTATTGAATTTCATCCTATTTACTTCAGACCATTTCTCCAGTTTGTCCAGATCATTTTGAATTTTAATCCTACCCTCCAAAACACTTGCAATGCCTCCCAGCTTAGTATCACCCACAAACTTTATAAGTGTACTCTCTATGCCATTATCTAAATCATTGATGAAGATATTGAACAGAAGTGGACTCAGATCTGATCCCTGCAGGACCCCACTCGTTATGCCCTTCCAGCATGACTGTGAACCACTGATAACTACTCTCTGGGAATGGTTTTCCAACCAGTTTTGCACCCACCATATAGTAGCTCCATCTAGGTTGCATTTCCCTAGTTTATTTATGAGAAGATCATGTGAGACAGTATCAAAAGCCTTACTAAAGTCAAGACATACCACGTCTACCGCTTCCCCCATCCACAAGGCTTGTTACCCTGTCAAAGAAAGCTCTCAGGTTGGTTTGACACAATTTGTTTTTGACAAATGACATACTGTGATGAAGCAATGTGCTGTGTAATTAAAATTTCCATTGGAATTAACCACTAGTTATTAATTAACAAACTGTTGTTCCTTGTTAATGATGAAATTGACCTCACAGATGAATCCTAATATTTAAAAAGTTAAAAAGTGCCAGTCCTGTTTATTGGCATCCAAAGGGCACATAGGCTTCTGCCCTGTCCCCTTGCTCCAGGAAGAAGTGACTCCACACCCAGTCGGGGCAGGCCCTTTTCTCAGCCTTCGCAATTGTCCCTTCCCCCTACTCAGGGTCTTCCTCAGGGGCCTATCTACTCCCTACTGGGTTCCATACTACAGGCCACCTGTCTGAGAGTCCAACCCTGCTCCAGAGCTGCCCACAAGAGCCAGCCAGCTTTCTGCTGTCCTATTCCCCAACCCCAGTGGTTTCCTATCAGGGTCTCCCTGCTGCTGGCAGCTTTCTCCTCCACTGGGCCACCTGCTGGCTTTTGTAAGTATTTGATCACCAGCTGCTCTCTCTCAGCTGGGAGGGAGCGGATCCTTCACAGACGAGGCTGGGCCCAACTCCCCTTAAAGAGCCAGCCACCCCGTGACAGGATATTTATTATTAAAACATATTTATTTGACACAGAGAAAGATTTTTTCTACATTGTGAAAGATGCTCTGGGCTAGATTTTCAGCCCTCAGCTTCTTCAGGCAAAAATTCCAATTGCACTCCGCAGGTGCAAATACCTGCTAGGTATTCCCATAGCTGCTCTCATTGTTTAAACAGTCCTGTGGGGAAATGTTAATATTTGCACCCAAAAAACCCATTGCGGCAAGTTGGTGCATGCATTACACGTACACAGGAGGAGAGTAGGTACAGCCTTGGTTGTAAACATTCCCCTCTCTCTGCGTAATGTGCATTATGAAACACAGAATTTGTGGTAATTAAACAATTTTTCTGCAGTGACTGAAAAACAGATAGGAACAACCAGAACTTCGGAGCGCTAGAGTCAATACACACTCCTCCTATGTTAAATCTTTATTGAATCCAGCCCTGAATACAGCTGGATTCAAGGTGGCCATGCCATGCCTTTTGCATTTCAAGCATTCATACAGGGTTTCAGAGCTTCCTATGCAACAGATCTTTACAGACAGACAAAAAGGGAAGCCGGCCCTTCTCCTGTAAGAGGATTAGTACAGTAATGCTCTCTCTGCCCCCAGCTGTCACTGTCGCCTTGCAAGATAACTTATTTTACTTTGGCAGTAGGAGAGAGAAAGGAAAGGAAAGGCCTGCCCAGGTTGAGATGGCTGCCTTGAGAGACATAAACATCGGCAGTTGTTATATTATTCAGCATTATAAAAATACAAATACCTATGCAGAGATGGGCTTGGACCACAATGCCTGCTCCGTGCACCTTTGCTTTGTTGGCATTTGATATCTGGATTGATACGTTTTGGCTTCATTGGACCTCTGATATTAAGGGGTCTTAAACCTCCCCCAAAAGTTGGGAAGTTCGGAGTTCAGGATATGGAAATCTGCCAGCATTTACTTGGTGTTCAGAACCAAGGGAAGAGAAACCCAGCTCTGCAAGTCAAAGTCATTGGGTCCAAGTAGAGCAGAGAAGGTCTCCACCTCTTTTAATCAGTTATATGATCTCATGGGAGATGATAAACATGGAGTCACATGCCATGCAGCATAGTTCATTGCTTAACTTTCTTTATGAGGTTTCCCTTCTCTCCCTCTGTCCAGTGTCTGCCGAGATTGTGAGTTCATGGCAGGGACCTTGTCCTTTGCACATGGCTGTGAAATGCCATGTGGGCGTCAGACAATACGAACATTTCTAGGAACAAATGTGAGAAGGCAAACTTACAGGGGGCCCTGGAGGACCTGGCAGGCCTGGGATACCTGAAGTGCAGGTGCAGGAAGGAGTCAAGGTAGGGCAGGTCTCTTCATTTCTCTGAAAGAAAGAAAGAAAGAAAGAAAGAAAGAAAGAAAGAAAGAAAGAAAGAAAGAAAGAAAGAAAG